ATTTACATGAATAACATGTGACCCATGAAAGTCCTTTAAAAAAGCATAAAAACACATTGGGATTGCATCAGCAACAGTAAGTCTTTTGGGCTAAGAGGAATTCCTTGCTTAATGTAAAATTCAGATTAGCTACAAAGTAAACCACTATGATTAAAAGGTTGAGACAAAAAAAAACTATCATTTTAAAGCAGTTATAGAAGAATAGAGATTGTTTTTTAAACAAGACGTTATTATTCTCAGTTATATATGAGTGGGGTGTAAAACTATGTTTAAATATGAGGGACCAAGCTAATAACATTTGCCTATGAAAATGGAAAAAAAATTATGGGGATTTCTCGAATATTTTAGAATAACAGATAGAGCCTACCCCAAATAACTACCTAAGCCATTTGACTCAAGACAACCGGGCCAGAAGCTCCTCCTCCAAATGAACAGATGCTTACGTGAAGTGTCGCGAGATTTCATGAGTCGCCATTTTAGTTTATCTCAGTGTCGTTGCGAGCGCGTTTCTCCTACATTGGCTCGACAACGGCTGAAGTTAAAACATTTTTATGTCTTGTTAAATCGGTTTATTCGCATTTTTTCAAGACCAGTCGACACTTAAAGACATCAGTGTACAATTTAAGGTAAGTTGCTTCGCCTTTGAACGAAGGTAAATGTATTTTTGTCTGCGTTAGAAAACTGCTTTGTCACGCAGGTCAAAGCGCGGTGCTGCGGCCTGTTCGCAAAATCACTGCTAAATTAAATTCTATTCAATATATTACTATACAAAATTATAACGTTTGCTGTGTAGTTTATTATGGTAAGTGTAAGTCGGTGTGTTGAATTACACTAAACTAAGTACATTACCGTAATCTCGATTTTTATGCTATTGTCTGTTAATCGTGAAAGAGCAAACTATTTTGACGTGTTTCCACTAACGTTAACGTTAATTTGTTCAAAGCAAGCTTTTGTGTCAAGTTTTACACTTTGAACATAAGTATTTAAAATCCCTATTACTTTCTGGTGTCCAATAACTTTAGGAAAGGAAATATTTCGTTAGGTTGAGCAGCCTTGATTATTTTTTAAATTACATTTAACGTTAAAGTCAAAGAAAAGGGTGATTTGATAATTTCTCTTCCTCTGAAAAATATGGTTTGAATACTAGTTCGTGTGTGAAGACAGTGTAGTATGTTGATATTACTAAATTTTGTTAATTTGAGTGCAAGTTAACCAAATTGCTGTAATTTAAAAATTTTTTTGTTAACTAACGTAACTTATTTTATCTCTTTATAGTGTTCTCAATATCCTGAAACACGAACATGATCACCAGAAAAAGAGGAAGAAGCAGCATTAACACAAATACCACATGTTCAAGCACTTCCCATGAGACTGTTGACGCTTCAAAAACCAGTAGTGCAAGTGAAACAAACACGCACACCTCTCCAGAAAGCGACACCAACGATTGGGGCTTGGATGATCTGCTTGGCTCCGAGTTCAACTGGGACCTGGACAAGGATATGCTTGAAGCTTTCAGCAGCTTTGAATCGCAGACATCAGTCTACAATGAAACAATCCAAAGTGCAGAGCTTGATGTTTCCGCATCACGTATGGTCCAGAGGTCAAAACTACTAGACGTCTCCGGCCGGATCATCAACAAGAACGCCATAGCTGCAAGGATAAACCGATTAAAGAAGAAAGAATACGTCAGTGGCTTGGAGCAGAGAGTTGGCTCTTTGACTACAGAAAACCGCGTGCTCAAGCAGGAAAACGGAAATCTCAACAAGAGAGTGGAAGAGTTGGAGAATGAAACTAGGTACTTGAGAGCCGTGTTGGCTAATGAGAGCATGCTGGCTCAGCTGTTGTCTAGATTGAGCGGTGTGAACGGCATGAAATTTTCTACCTCGCTTTTCCAGGAACCCAATGAGAACGACCACGATTATGCCATGCCGATGAAGAGGGTGAAGGTGGAAGACAAAGAAACTGCAGGTGGCGTCTGCCTGCATGTGGACAAAGACCATGTCTCGGTGGAATTCTGCACCAAGTGTGCAGAGAGTTCAAGCTTGTCACATAAAATGTAGGGTCAAGTATTTTACCTTTTCACCGTTTCCAAGACTGAACTTTACACAAGATGTAAATGAGGGGACATGACGACAGTAGTCGTCAAAGATAGTTAACTGTTTAAATATGCAGAGCTTGAATAGCATGTCTGTTGAACTTGCTTTCAATACAAGTTACTGCTAAACTTGTTGACAGTTTTCTTCTAGGTGCTTGGTCCGCCCATGCTGAACGACCGGGTCACAGAACATCCATGACTGCTGAAATCCATGGTAAGGATCAAGATATTGAAGACTGCACAGAACTGGTTAACTCCTAAGATGAAGACAGTGCTTTTTGCCAGTTCACGGCACAATATCAACTGTAAATAAGCTTAAATTTAGCTTTTTTTTTTTTCATTTGTTTTGTTTAGATTTATTTACAGAAAGAGAAAAAAAACATTGTTTTGAGTTGTATACATGGATGTTTATTGGAATACACAATCATATTATGTAATTGCAGATAAAATAGACAGGGAATTAAGTGAATAAAAAAAAAGTATAAAATATAAGTTGGTGATGTTTCACAAAGGGCTTTCATCTATAATATTAACAACATACCCATTCAGCGGTCATGTGTAAAAGTTGATTTCAACAAGTTCTTTAATTTTGCCATAAACATTTGAGCCCTTTCTGAAATATCACTGTTTTTCTAAAGAATGTTTTTCATGTAGAACCCTTATTTTTCTTTATGCTAAAGTGGATTTTGCTGTGGGGGAAAACAGAAGAGTCGGGACCTGCAGCTTGCATCATGGCCTGGTAAATTTAAGAAAGGTAGTACATGAAAGTGTAAGTTACTGCTTTTACTGACTCTTATCACACCCCTAAAGATGTCAGATGCTGATGTATTCATTTAGCATCTAAATGAGTATTGAAAAAGTCTTGTTTTAATGTATGGTAACAAGACATTGAACGACTATGTTAAATCCATGTGTTTCATTTTGATTTAACTTTTTGGGGTGTTTTCTATAAGTTGCCCTGATTCGAGTTAAAGAAATGGCATGTTCTTGAAGGGTTATGGTTTCTTAATAATGCTCATCTATATGTTATATGTATTAAAATTCCAAAGACTATGCAGGCACATGGCTGCATCTGTTCTGAAAAAAAATGTAATAAATTTTCATTTGATAAATGCAAATTGCTTTGTGTCCTCTTAAGATATTAACTACACTCTCCTTCTCTTTTTAGACAGCAATTTCTTCGCTCTCTACAAGAGCCTTTTCTTGCCTCTGCAAGGTGGATAAAGAGTGGTGGTGGTTTCTCCCAGATATATTCAAGTGTATACTGCACAATTCCTTAATGGTACTGGTAATTCAGTAACCTCAAAAAAAAAAAAAAAAAAAAAAAGTACACCTATTCTGCTTGGGTTCTTAATGTCCCAGTTTATGGCTGTGACTCTAGCAATGCAGATCAACCCAAGCTGTTCTGAAATGTATAACTATGCAGTCTAAATTGTTTTGTTCCTGTCCAGTACTTCATACTGGTGTCAGTGTAAATGGGCGGAAAAGACTTTCCAAAAGTCTCTTATGAACTATTGGGTCAATGCTGTTAATGTCTGTGAAATCAAAATTTACAATGTTTAGTTTGCAAGTGCACTTTGGTTAATAATTGGTTTAAGTTAATCCCTTAAAATAAAAATGTTTGTTTTGGTAATCTTCAAAGTCTGACCATTTGCTTCCACGTTTGGAGTGGCACTTTTTATATTAGTTTGAGTGATGCAGACACAATATTTTTATCCACGCCCCTCTTGGAATTAGTTTGCTATTTGCTTGTTAAGTGAGACGTCACGCGAAGCTGCTTCTGGGTCCAAGTGCTCAATCAAACTGTATGTGGACACAAAAACAAAGTGACGTAATCCTTTCTAAAATTCAATGGCCAAAAAGTGATTCAAAAAAAAAAAAACTATATATATATATATATATATATATATATATATATATATATATATATATATATATATATACACACACACACACACACATATATATATATATATATATATACATATATATATATATATATATATATACACACACTATATAAATTGTTAAAAGATTGCCATCTGTAATGCAGAAAGTCCAGAGACTGTTGTGTACACGTAATTTTAGATGAAATTAATTTTAATTTGTGATGTTTTGTGAATATTTTCTCAATTCAAATGTCAATTGGCTTGGACCTGGAAATTGTATTCAATATCTCACAACTTAACAATTGGATGAGGCAGTAATGTGCAAAAAGCGCCGCCACTGCCCCTCACTCAGTTTTCCATTTCGGATGAAAGTTCATAAGCTTACTGATAAGTCTCAATTACATTTTGAAACATTTTTTGAAGATAGTTTTTTTTATACTTAAACTTACATCATAGACATATCATATTAAAATAACTACCTGTTGGGAATTTGTTATTGTGATAATTTGATTATTTTTTTTGTAACCCATAAACCATTAACTTACTGAATTGAGATGAAATCGGATTTAGAAGTAATATGTTTTTATAATTGTTTGCATTTCAGAACACTGGTTGATCGTTGTGGTAGGGGATTCAGAATTAAGACTCACTTTTAAAGTCTAGTAAATGTTGAAAATAATATACATGTACTTGTTTTTAGTGATTAATTAGTTAACTATATCTAAATGCTTTAAATTAGATCATTTTAATTTGTACATTGGCAAAAGGCCTTTTTGTTTACACCACTTTTTATCCACTTCATTACCATTCACACAACAATGTAGATATTTAAGACAAAGCTCTAGTTCATGTTTAGTGTTATCAATTAAACTATTCGGGTAGGCTTTATATAGTGTTATAAGAAGTTTCAGTGTATTTCTAGTATTTAAAATTGTTACTTGAGGTTATTCTTTAGCATGTACAGCAAATTTCCCTTGTGAACCTTTTGGTAGTGAATAAAAGGCTATGGTGCACTGAATATGTTAAGAAGTTATCTTTATTTTCAGGGGACAAAGACAAAAACATGATCAAATGACAGCACAATCCAATATGTCTGGGCCATGATGACCCATTTTTCGTAATTTATTTAACAACAAGACTTACAATGTACAAATATCAACAGTAAATCTTAACCATTCAGCTGTTCGCTGTCAGAATCAGGCATTCTTAGCATTTTAAGGTAGATCTCAAAATGCCTAGAGCTCAAGAAGGTTCCAATGACACACTGCAGCACTAAAACAAAGGACATCTTCTTTACTACGGGTTTACTTAAATTCGTCCAGAAGCGTATTATGTTACCCTTCTCTGGCATTGGTGCACTGTTATACCTGGAAGACAATCAGATACCAATTTTAGTTTTGCATAAATGTTGTTGTAATGGGCTATATGCACAGACTTAATTTTTGCCAGCTTCTGCTTCCGGTGAATTATAGAATTGCAATGTTTAAGGTTGGATTTCTTTAAAAAAAAAAAAAAAAAAGTGATCTTCACTGCCTGGTAGATATCATATAAAGTGGGTCAAGAAACACTGCATTAAATTGCATTTTCCACCGATATGTTTTTAAAATATGAAAGTTTATTTAACCTCAGTATTTTCAACAGAGTTTCTGCGCTAGCCTGCCGGTACTGACGGCGCTAGCGGTTACACGGCCTTTCATCTCGTTTTACACTTGAACAACTAAATAAATGCTTAGGTCTGTTTAACTCAATGTATAATAATTACATTGCATTACACCATTGATGCTGTAAAAGGAACCTTATGAAATAGAAAATAGTTTAAAAAATTACATCAGAAGTTTATCATTGGCTGAAAAACATTAGCTGTGCATACAGCCCCACTGTAAGAATAGCAAGACATGTAGTGACACTGTACACTTACCTTGCAGCAAGACCAGCATTGACAGGTAAGGCCAGCAAAATTGGATAAATGCCACCCCCAACCACACCCACCAAAGCGCCTCTTATAAGCGCACAGGTTGGGCAGTTAAGGTCACCTATGATTACAATATGACATTCTTAATGATAAAAGGAAATCGTTTACCTTTTTGAAGTAGTGGTGTTTGAAGTTAGAATTGTTATTATTTTACTTTCTGTCCATGCCATTTGTTAAGTACAAAAATGAAGGTATTTTGTCTTGCCTACATGTTTTACTTTCCAGGTACCAGAAGTGTTGATGTGCATTTTATGAGTAAGCAAGAGCCACAGTTTTAGCCAAAAATCATATTAAATGTTACATTGAAAAAAAAAAAAAAACTACATCTTAAATTGCTTGAGTTTAATAATTATTTTTCATATTTGGTGAACTAAATGCTCACGGTAAACATTAAAATGCACCAAAGTATATTTATTTGAGCCCAAAAGGTGATAGCTAAAATAAATAGCGCACATTCAAGTCAATTGTGAAAATTGTAGAGCTTTTTGAAGTTTGTACTGACGCATTTACGTAACGTCCCTTTAATTTACCAATGATTGGCTGATAAGGGTTCATACAGTTCAAGAGCAAGGGGTCAAAGTTGAAATCATTTGAATTGGTCAACAGACGTGCGACGTTGAAGGATGAAATATGGTGAAATTACCTGACAGCAGGGGGGTCGTGACAGTCGCCGTGTACAGTGCTGCAGTTGTCACAAATGGAAGAACAGCCATGGGAAGACTGGAAGTAAAGAGCCCTTGGGTGACATGGAGAACTCGTCTGTAAAAGCTGTTGGCAACCATGCCAGCAATCCCAGCATTGGCAGCCAAATACAAGGGACCACGTGAAAGCATTTTTCTGTTGGGTTTTAAACGGGAAACGTTCATATACAGCATTAGAGACCAAACTTGCGTTGTAATATATTTGCATATAAAAAGCGAACTTGCCTATCACTTTCGGGAAGCTTTTCGAACTTTTTATTCAGCATTTCAATAATCCTCATCCTGGATGATGTCAGGCCTTGGCTTGCATCTCTCATCGTCATGGAGTTGTCTGTCATGTTTATCTGTTATTTCAAATTTCTGAGATCAAATTAAGTCACAATATAACAACGTGGTCAAAACACTGAAAATGGTGTCGTTTTTGGTATGGTAAAGACTGTTTCCGTGTGAGATAGGTAAACGTCACTGAGACACTAATTTGATGTGTTGAGGATCTTCAGCGTTTACATTATAACGTTACACATTTACCAATCAAACTAACAATATGAATTGCTCCAAATATGTAATTTTAACATTATTTAAGCGGATATTGAATGTTTATAACTGTAGGCTATCGTTTCAAGTTATAATGTTGCTAACATTTAACTACGGTTGTTCATTATATTATCACGTAGACCTTCAATATGTTAGCTTGCTAAATTGTTATGCATATATCATATGACCTGTTTTCAATAGACATTTAGTTTGTCACCTCCCTGTTTATAAGGGATTTAATACGATCACGGCAAAAGACGCGTCGCAAAAGTCAAACAGAAACATTTACACTTAAGTTAACCTAATGACAGCCGATTGTTTTACCTCTGTTTATATGTAACTTTGCTGAATGTCAAACCCTGCGTGACTTATCGCTCTGTTTATTTACGACTTCATTTGCACATAGTCAGCAACGCAGCGCTTTCTTGCATTATATGACTACTACTTACCCACGAATGATCTTTTAAATAAGCGCTAAATTATCTCCATTTTCAGTTTAACAGTCACGGTTCTCATTGCCAGCAGGGCGCAGCCATGTCTAACCACATGTTTTAGTCAACTCTCACCCTGAGATCCAGGAACAATACGACGATTCCTATTGGTCTGCGCGTGCGCCAACTGACAAAAAGAACGAAAGCCATTGGCGGACGCGCCCTGTCAATCTCAGCGGGTCAACCTTCTCGTTGCTAAGGCGAAACTGGTGATGATGCTGCTGCTGGTGATACTGCACCCACCGTAGAGAGAGTCTGCAAACCAGCTTTGGCAAGAGATGCTGTGAAGACCCACAGAAAAAATGACGGGAAGGGAGGTGAAGTTGTTCTCAACTGCATTTCGGGACGTCTGACGAGCACCTTTAGGATATTTTTGTTCAGATTGGCTTAATTACAGAAGCAAATGTGGAGCCATGCGTTATCGGGAAGCTGGATGAAACTTGCAGGTGTTTTCCGACAGGCGTCGCACCGACAGGCTGCTGTTTCATGGGGAAATACATCCAGCCTTATTTAGTTAAACGTGTCTACCCCGATATCTGCATTTTGTAAACCGTTTTTGCCTGTTTTGCCAATATTTTTTTCTTCTTTTTTCTAAACTGAAAGTGGATTGCGCTGTGACCAAGCAGCAAGATGATCACCAAGTCTTAATTATTTAATTTTTTTCCCTCACGTATAATGATCAGATCTAAAACAAAACACACGAAACTTCATTCTGCCTTTCCGTATAGAACAAGTTGTTCTTGAAGAACTGTTTACACGCAGACATCCTTAAACTTAAGATGTCGAGCTTATTTCTCATTCACACCGTTGGTAGATCTTTATATTAGGCGTTTTAGGATTTAAAATAATGCTTGATCAGCATATACTGACGGAATTTAATTCAAGGCAAGCCATGTAGCCTACACGGGAGCCTTTCTAATTTGACGTCTATGGCCCCCGGGGTTAACCACTGATGTTTAGGTTTTAGTTTAGTTAGTCACTGCGCCTTTAACGTTAGTCTGAGTTTGTGTTATGGACGACGTGATTGAATTATATTTATGTAGTTAAACACCAAAGGCATTTAAAGAGTCGCGAATATTCCAGCAGTTTAATCGTCAACACATTCACTCACTGGAGAGCATTCTTTGCATTTCCCATGGACTCATCCACGCCAATGTGCACTCGATCACTATCCACTCATACTATCGGATTATGGATTTATTTCTCATGAGCGCTCAGCATGTGTTTTCTTCTGCAAGATGTGTCGGCGCTTGTCTTTCGCTGTTTAACTTGACAATTACAGGTCTGGACCCCGAGATCTGCCATTCTGTTCGCTTTTACATCTATACCAACGAACTGAAGGGAAACGTGCTGCTTTAGTTGGTGACACTTTCTCCAGGATATTGACAGCAGATGAGGGCGAAACTTTTGTGTTGCTGTTTCCATGCGTGACAATCCCACAAGGACATAAAGGAGTAATAATGCCCTTAAGAAAACGAGGTGAGAAATAAACATCTGTGTATGTGGATAATAACCGTGGAAACGTTCTGTTATGTGTAGTTTTGTTGTTGTTGACATCATTTTACTGGGTGTATTTTTTATGAATGCATGTTTGCAAGATTTTTTTGACAGGGTTTCTGGTGGTTTCAAGCTTTTTTTTTTTTAAGAAAGAAAAATAACTTAAAACATTTGGAGGGAACACAGTAGGTTAATGTTCTCTAAATGTATGGGTACATTCTGATCACAGTGTTTTCAAGCGTAGCAAGATGCATTTACACAGTAGTAACAAGTCTTGTTTTCTGTTAGAGAAATCAGAATTAAGTAATCTTTTTAGGATTAAAACAAGAACAAAGATCTGCCAGTGAGCTACAAACTGTTATTCATACCTCACTGTCAGATATTTGTTTTTGTTTTTAGGTAGGCATGGGCTGTATATGATTCTGATGGGATGATAACCCTCGGATAAAAATATCACGGTTTCACAGTATTTTGATTACGTCTCTAAAATGTATTCTTTTTAAAAGTCAGGGTATTTTTTTGGAACAATATAGTTTATTTTAAGAAACATTTTAAATAGTTTACAGCAGTAAACATAACAGGCTAAAAAATTCAAATCAGTCAGGTTTCTGATGTCTTCATTAGTTTCAAATACACATATTTCTTTACAATTTAAAACAGCGTCTTTGTATACATTTTTTTGAGATGCTGTTGTCCTAAAAAACAAAACAGAAATCTTACATTTAACGTGCATCTGGAAAGTATTCATAGCGCTTCACTTTTTCCACATTTTTTTTATGTTACAGTCTTATTCCAAAATGGATTAAATTCATGTATTTCCTCAATACTACACACAATACCCCATAATGAAATTTTGAAATTGTTGCAATTTTATTAAATTAAAAAACCTGAAAAATTGCATGTACATCAGTATTCACATCCTTTGCTCAATACTCTGTTGGTGCACCTTTGGCAGCAGTTACAGCCTCAAGTCGTTTTGAATATGATGCCACAAGCTTGGCACTCCTGTCTTTGGGAATTTTTGCCCATTCCTCTTAGCAGTACATCTCAAGCTCTACCAGGTTGGATGGGGAGCGACGATGTGCAGCCATTTTCAGATCTCTCCAGAGATGTTCAATAGGATTTAGGTCTTGGCTCTGGCTGGGCCACTCAAGAACATTCCCAGAGTTGTTGTGAAGCCACTCCATTGATATTTTGACGGTGTGCTTTGGGTCATTTTCCTGCTGGAAGATGAACAGTCACCCTAGTCTGTGGTCAGGAGCACTCTGAAGCAGGTTTTCATTCTGGATGTCTCTGTACATTGCTGCAATCATCTTTCCCACTATCCTGACTAGCCTTCCAGTTCCTGCTGGTGAAAAACATTCCCACACCATGATGCTGCCACCACCATGCTTCACTGTAGGGATGGTATTGGCTTGGTGATGAGCGGTGCCTGGTTTTCTCCAAACGTAACGTCTGGCATTCACTCCAAAGATTTCAATTTTAGTCTCACCAGACCAGGAGAATTTTGTTTCTTATGGTTTGAGAGTTCTTCAGATGCCTTTTGGCAAACTCCAGGCGGGGAGTGGTTTTCGTCTGGCCACTCTACCATACAAGCCTGGTTGGTGGATTGCTGCACAGATGATTGTCCTGGATTGAGCTGGAGCTCAGACAGAGTGAAGTTATTGATCACCTCCCTGACTAAGGCGTTTTTCTCCTGATCCTCTCTCGGAGGACTACAGACAATTCCTTTGTTTTTATGCTTGGTTTGTTCTTTGACATGCACTGTCAACCCTGGAACTTTATATAGACAGCTGTATGCCTTTTCAAATCATGTCCAATCAACTGAATTTACCACAGGTGAACTCCAATTAAGCCGCTGAAACATCTCAAGAATGATCAGTGGAAACAGAATGTAGCTGAGCTCAATTTAGAGCTTCATGGCAAAGACTGTGAATACTTATGTACATGTGTTTTTTTTTTTTTTTTTTAATAAATTTGCAACAATTTCAAAAAGTCTTTTCACATTGTCATTATGGGGTATTGTGTGTAGAATTGAGGAAATAAATTAATTTAATCAATTTTGAAATAAGGCTGTAACATTAAAAATGTGAAAAAAAAGTGAATACTTTCCTGATGCGCTGTGGCTTAGGAATGGAATAACAAAGAATTTTGGCGGTTTAAAACCTTCACTTTTCGAAACCACGGTATGTCTTAAAAACGGTTATCATCCAATGCCTATTTTAACCACATATGTTGTTCAGTTTCTCAGAAATCAAGTTAATGCTTCTCAAGCAAACGCATCATACAACGAAATGTTTTTTTTTAACCCGTAAATCATTTGATTTCTTTGTTTTTTTGAATTATCGGCTACTCTAAGACTTTTATGCGATTTTTAAAAATCCTAGAATATAAAATCTTTTCAATTATTTCATTTCTGTTCATACCATGATAAACACTTTGTTCTCTCTTTTGAAAGTAGAAAATGTTCTGGGTAGTCTCGTTGTGGCTATAAAACCTGTATGCATGATTATAATGCTTTAAAATGTTTAAATATAGCAGGACATGCCCGTGTGAAGTTAACACAATATTTCATGTCAACCACCACATGTAGTCATATTTATAGCGGTGTGTGTGTGTGTGTGTTTGTGTTTGTGTGGGTGTGGGTGTAATGCAGAATGTCAGGGCTTGATTAGTTGAACGTTTTTGTTGCTGAAGCAGACAAAAAGGATCAAGTTGTAGCAGCATTGTGGAGTGCTTTTATTTTATTTTGACTTCTGTACCTCTTAAAGCTAAAGTATGCAGTAGGGACTGTAATTATATATGTAGGCCTACTAATAGCGTAATTACACTCTGCTGTAAGTTTGTAGTCTGTAAAAATAGACACAAGAATTGCCAGCTCGCCTATGACCTTGGATAATCTTTGATGTTGGTTTGTATTTAGATTTCAGACTGCTATGCGACTGTTTTTAGTTACTCTTTAAGTGACATGCATGCCTACTAGGCTGTAAATTTAGTATATCTCCGTCTTTATTGCCCTGCTACTATAATGGCTTATCATTAACTAAATTTGTGTTTTTCGGTCAAACCTAAATGTAATGTGACTTGAACGCTGAATTGCTGTTTTATGCTGTTTATGTTACTGGTTGACTAATGACACACACTGTGGTACTAGCAAAATATTCATATTCTGTAGACAAACTTTTTTTTTTTTTTTTTTTTTGAAGTGACCAATCTCATTATTGCATGCACAATCATCTTTTCCATATTTATTACTGTCTTTTATTTTTTCTAAATTGCTCAGACTGTTCCGTCGAGGACCAATATTAACCCATCTTGTCTGTAGTGTCAATGTGAGTCATGCTCAGTCACGCTGATGGACTGTTCCAGTAGTAAATGGTGTATCAGGGACGCTGTATAGTTTTAACAGGCCTCATTGTTAAAACAAATGTCTTTTTTTGCCAGTTTCACAATAGATGTGTTGTTAAAAACAATGCAAATCTATTTTCACAACCCCTTTTACTTCCTTATTCTGGTCAACTAAACATACTGTGAATAATCATTCATTATTTGATATGCATTACAGCCATAGTTTACCCAATAATTAATATGGCTGTTCATCCTCAGGTCTTGTGTGAGACGGCAATTTTTTTTTTTCAGTAGAAAGAAAACTGTTTGCTCAAACCTTGATTTTTGGTCATTTTATAAAAGGCACAGTAGGGCTGCACAATATATTGTTTCATCATCGAAGTGCAATGTGCACATTCGCAGTAGTCACATCGCAGGATGTGCAATGTTAAGTCTAAATAATATTTGAGAATTTTTATCTTGTTTCTAGCTAAAAAAAAATTCAAAAGCGAAAACAAGATTATTTCACTTGACCTGTTGGCAGATTATTTAACTTGTTTTAAGTTTAATGTAATTTTGATGTAATACTTCTGAAAGTAAAAACTAAATATTTTATTTTAAGATTTATGAATTTGTAGTTATTTGAATTAGAAATGAGATTAAAAAAAAATAAGCAAAGCATTCTTTGCAATTTATTTAAATTCTGAACCTAAAAACTCTTTAACTCCAGAAAAAAAAAAAAAAAAAACATTTAATTGAACTATTCAACTATGGTGGAACTGTATTTGTATCTCAATGTCACAAAAAAAGAAAATATCTCTATCAGATTTTTCCAATATCCTGCACCCCCAATTAAGGCACAGGCCTTCAGACTTGCTTTTTCTTTTCCACTAGAGCACTGTAGCCTCTTATTAAATACTTTTTGAAGCATGTGTGATGAAATGCATGTTTCCTTGCAGTTTTACAACATTATAATAGTTTAGTTAAATGGACTTGGCTTGCAAAAATTACGATGTGCTTTTAATTTCCTTAAATCACATGCGTTTTGAATCATGGTACCTGGTCAACAATAATCCTGACTCAGCTAGGCGTGTTGCAATAATCAGTATATTAACTTATCAAGCACTCACTAACTCACTCACTTACTTTCCCACTGCTTTTCCCCTGGGGTCGCCACAGCACAATGATCTGACAATTTTTGGTAATGCAATATATATCGTCCATCATGTTTACATAAAAATGAATGTCAGCAACATTTCAGCTGATTGTGCAGCCTCTACCATGTCATCCAATCTCTGTTGGAGGTGTCAGTGAGCTTGGTGAACGTTTAGAGATTTCACATTTCCCCAAAAACTACTGACAATTTGTAAGAAGTTGTCCAAATGAGCTGTGTTTTAAGGATGAGATCAACGTCCAGAAAAGGGACACAAAAAATCTTTAAAGCCAATTTACAAGTGCTTTTTGTATTCTTCGTACATCACTGGTGTTTAAGTTTATATTAGGGCTCTAAAGTTTTTTACATCAAATGACAGAATCTAAGTAACCTTAAAATTGAATAGTTGTTGTGCCTTGGGTGTTTTTATGCCTATTTAATAGTATGCTGTTAAATTACCATTAAGTATTAAATGGTCTAAAATGATCTTAAAAGCACAATGAAATCAATTATCGTAATTTCAGTGAGAATATATCGCACAACAAAAATTATTCATCGTGGCAAGCCTAGACTCAGCATTTCACATCTTGTAATGTGACTTCTGCAGATAGCACACACTGCGATGTCAATGCTGGAACAATAAATTGTCCAGCTCTACTCCAGACTAACATTTGAGAGCAGTACCACCAAGTTTCAATATGTAAAAATTGTAAAATGCTAATTTTCTTTCAGGTTTGTAGCTCATAAATATTTTGTTCATTACAATTTATTTATTTGTTCACTCTCAAAGTGCCAGTAGTCATTGACTTACATTTGATGATTCACCAAAAACCACTGTTTTGTGATCTCAATTCAAACCCGTGTAACATGAATAATAAATTATAATGATTTGCATAATAATAGCGCTACATTTAAAGGTGCAGTATGTGATCCTCCACAATGCTAACAGCTTAGCATAAATCTCTGAATCACAGTCCCTCCCCTGCCGTCTAGAGCCACGCCTCTTGAAACACGAGCACCGCAAAATAACCCTCTCTCATGTGTTAAAAGCGACTTGTGCTTGTCCGGCGGCGTCCAAGCCAAACTGACATGCGATTTCAGAGTGAATATTAGAGTTGCATAGTAAACAATATAGGGAGAAACTAGGCGAAATAGCGGTATTTACTTGTGTTTTGTTGTTAAACTAATTAAAATCTACATCATCGATGCTGTAAAAGGTAATGTAATGTTACATCAGCTTTTGCGTGAAGCTAAAACAGTTTTAAAACAGAACATTACCTGTCTAAGATAAATCCTTCAGACATGGTGTCATCCTTTCTCCAGCGTGCAAAGGTAACTCCAATATTGATTCAGTTTTTTAAAAAGTTTTGATTCAGCAGGTTTTTACTAATCGCGCGCATGCTCTCTCTCGTGAACGTGCAGCGGTTGGCGGAGCTGCGTACAAACAGCTGCGCAGTTGTTTAAATCTGCATTTGCTGACAGACAGATTGTGGCGCTTATTGGAATTATGAGAGATGTCGGCCCGACTCTATTTAATTGGATGAGTATTTTTTAGTTTTATGCCTTACTCAAAATATAAAAATACATATAAATACATTTAGATCGTTTACTGTAATCATTACTATTAGACTGTGAAGAGACTTTCAACCAGCACAACAAAAAATGCTTCTGAAGACAATCACCTGCTATACCTTTGAATCTGCGTTTGTATACATTTTCAGTTAGTTACAATCAATTAAATAACACAGAAGTACTGGGGTAACTGTTAAAAGTTCAGATATAAACACTGATGTTTACAGTAAAGATTATAATCACAGTTCAATGGAATTTGACGCTTGTGAAAGTTGTAGCAATTAAACTAGTAGTAGGGACAAACAACCATCAAAATTATCGCACTGAATAGATTTTCAAAAAAGATTCACAGTATTTCCTCTAGAATTTTTCCTGTTGTGACAGGCCCTTGACACAGATCTACCAACTACCTATGTTGTTATTTCAATGACAAATGTCGTGAGCGCAGTATTATAAGTTAAGATCCTATGTATGTAATATGAGAACGTGAATATCTTTGCTTGTGCGTTGATTTCCTCTGTTCGTGCACAAAACTTCTTGCATGCCCTCAAATATACGCTGCTCAAGTGCACATTTTCTTGTGCGCTCTTAAATAAACGCTGCTGAAGTGTGATCTTAGTGCATTTATATAACTAGTGTGTCTTCAACATTTATTATATTTGATAGAAATATTGATGATTGTTTCCAATAGACCTACAGAGCGGCATTAATGCGTCCTGAAGTGAAGTGAAACGGCTATAAACTCCAGCAAGACGTATGCAGAAACTGTGTTTATCATAACTGAAAGCTACATTGTGTTTGCTCGCCTCATGCATCACACACATGTCTGTCAGTCAGTCAGTCTGTCAGCATGTTCCTCAAAGGGTTAAACAAATAACGCACAGCACTACTAAGATTACAGAAAAGCCTGCGCTGTTATAATTCACTTACCTTTTAATACGCTTTGGTGCGATTTAACAACTTGCTAATAAAAAAACAAGGACTGAATGTTTTGAATGAGAAGCTGTAATGTGAAACAGGAAGCTTTATGTGTGAATTATTGAAGTATTCATTGAAAATAAATATGATATGTTGTACATTGTTAGATTTCTATATTTAGCATTATCAGCAACAGTAGCCAAGATTTTTTTTTTTAGCTGGTTCTTTCTTGATTTTTATGAAAATTACAGGTTCTAAGATCTGTTTTTTCTAAAACCAATGGTTTTTGAAGTAATATTTTTGCATAAATGAAAAGCAAATGACTTTTGTCTCCTCCCTTTTTTTGCTGATCCAAAAAATGGTCCAATCCGTGACTCAAAAACCATTGTGTAATCCGAACCATGAGATTTGTAATCTGTAACACCGCATTTTTTAACGCTGGCTAATAACAATACATTTTTATCTTTGGTGAACTTTTCAAAAAAAGTAAACCTCTGTTACCCAGAAGTCCTACAACTTCTATATTAAATAATATCTGATAATACATTTCATTTAATGTAAATGCATGTTATTTGCTGTATTCGAATCAGACAAGTAGCATAACATTGAATTATTTTTCTTTTTTGCAGACACAGCCAGGGCAATATGCCTTCTGGAGGACTACTGCTCCAAACTGAAGAAACCAGAGGAACAACAGCTTAAAACTGCCATCTTAAGAGTCATGGACATTTTCAAAAGCAGTCTTTTCCAAGCGCTCATAGGTAAGAGGATGTATTCATTTTGCACACATTTTCTATACATTTTTAAATATATACACATTTATGATGTTTGTTGCTCTTGGAATTTCCGTTTCAAGTCTTAAGGTCAAGGCTTTCGTTTCTATTATTGTTCCATTAAGATTGCATGTGCTTTGTCTGCTGATGTGACATTTGCTCATAGTTCATTCTTAAGCAGTGGGCACATTCTGCCGCTTTAGGGCTTTTTTTCCTGAAATAAAGTTATTTTTAACCTTGCTGATGTGGCAGGAGATGCTTCCCTGTGCCTCTGGTATTTTAAACGTGTTCCTCATAAGCTCAAATCTCCACAAGCTTTTGTCTTTTGCTTATAGGAGAGCGAGATTGCTTTTGAATCTTGATTGGTTTAACTCCTTTATTCATACTCAAGGTCAATTAGAGCTTAAGGACAAAAGCTCCTATTTCCTTTCCACGTGCTTTAGGGAGTTACAGAGATTGGTGGGTTTGACATACACGAATTCCTCTTTAAATGTGTGGACACTTCGTTAGTTTAATATATTGAGTGTGCAATTGATGATTCTTGAATATAAGGTCTTCTCATAATTTCTGTAATGAGATGGGCTACTGTGCTGTCACCCTCTGTTAGCATTTCATCACCGGGATGTCGGCCTTTATTCTGGTCTAAAGCAAATGTTCATTCAATCAATTAGCAAAGAATCTCGGAAATGTGCAGTGCGGTGGTGTCCACTGGTCAAATTCATTTTCTTTTTCTGTAAAATGTATTGCTTTGTTGTTGACTTCGATGAATATTCTATTGGTTTTCTAGACAGTGTGGAGAGTAATTCTTTGGTTATGTCAAAATCATTTTTCATAGAAGCAGCATGTTGATGCATGTCAAAACATCAATGCACTAAGGGCTCTTGCAGAATTTCTCAATCTCTTCTCTTCTCTGTCATGATTTTTAAATGAGGCTTTAGATGTGGTTGCTTTGTTTTAATTCTCCAAAAAAAGCCTTTAAATAAGTTAGATGAGAACACAAACTGTGCGATTTAAAAATATTGTTTATTTGTTTATATTCAACATAGTGTATGTATAATAGAGCTGCACAATATACTGTTTCGTCATCGATATCGCAATGTGGATATCCGCAACAGCCACATCGCTAGATCTACAATGTCGATTTGGGATATGGTTGACTACGAGTCACAATTAAAACATACTAATTGGCTGAATCGCAGAAAAGCTGAGTTAAGATCGTGTTTAGGGTCGAATCGAGATTGTGATCTTTTTTCGGTTAATCATGCAGCCCTTGAAGTGATGACAAAGTTTAGCTATAAAGTTGCCAATATATATATATATATATATATATATATATATATATATATATATATATATGTATATATGTGTGTTTTGTGTTTTAAAGACCTGTGTAAGCATTTCAAGCTAGTTTAAAGCATTCATGCACAAGAAAAGTACATTTTTTTGTGTACAGTCTATTAACACAATATTTGTTTATAGCCATTTTTAGTCCTATCACACATTAAAGTGCATTTTATATAAAATCATAGTGTACACAACAGTCTCTGGACTTGCTGCATCACAAATACCAATATTTTAACAATTTATAAAAAGTTAATTACTTTCTGATCATCTGATATTGAGCATGGATATTACGAAAGTATTACAACGCTTTGTAAATGTTTTACTATTACCATTTGATGACTCTTCCAATATGTTTGATAGAACGATTTAGACCCGGAAGGTGCTTTGCATGACGTCACACTTAAGTGGATATCGTAATATATATCACAAAGTATTATAATGTCGAAATGTCAGTTTATTGTGCAGCTCTAGCGTATAATAGGGCTGCACAATAGTTTTGTCATCGATATCTCGCAGTGTGCAAACCTGCAAAAGTCACATCGCAAGATCTGCAATGAAAATTGCCAATTTAATTAACCAGAATCACTGCAGAGTTTAAGCGTGTAGTCACACTAGCCACACTGGCTGTCTTGAACCATGCTCAGGCATGATTGCCACCCCCCCCGCCCATCCTTCGCCAGCACAACACATTTTATTTTACTTTATTAACCTGAGCACGCTTACATCATCGACAATGCGACTGTTCAGTTTAACAGAAGTACTCTTGCTCAATACAATGGCAATGGCTTTAGTTACATTGTTTTGTATTATTTTAAGTCTTATAGGATGCAGTGACACTGTCAAATCTTTTGCCGAACAGATCCTTCTCTTTTGACTCACAAATGTTCATGAAAGTCATCACGCTGCACGTATTAGGAGGTTTGCTGAAGCTGGCAGCTGAGGTGCAGTAGGGGGAGGGGAGGGGAGGGGGGGTTGTATGTTTGATAAATTATGACAGTTCACATTCATTGAAAATGAATTAAGAATGATAATAAATCCAAATAAAACAGTCCTCTAATCGTGATGTTGTGTCTTCAGTTTTGCGCTCAAGCATGCTTTGCATTCATACTTTTAGCGTACCGCGCCAAAGCACAAGCGACCCATGTTCTGGCACACATCTTTTAACTGGGCCAGGGCTGGCCAATTGAAATGCATCTGAGCCTAATTTGGAGCACTTGGTCTTATCAAACGAACTGGGAAATGGGGGAAACATGCCTGGGCTCAGTTCAGATAGCAAAGTGTGAGTACACCATAATCCTAATAGTGTGAAAGTTTTATTTTAAGTTGTTTTAAGGCCTGTGACTGTAAGATTTCAAGCAAGTTTAAACCATTTGGGCACAAGAAATTATAATGTTTGCCTCTTTACTGAAGATTAATTGTGTTTAACTATTTATATAATAAAGATTATAAACAGTGTTATTTTACAATTGATTATTGAATTTCTGTACCTCAATACTTTGACTCCACCAAAAAAAACAAAGCGCTGTTTATTTCATTTGCATCAATTGCTTTTTCCATTGCTTTAATTTTGTTTCTTTAGTTTTGGATATTTCTGGATATTTTTGTATATACTGTATTATGCAGATTCACTGTACTACAAAATCATCCCTATTAGGCATGGGACGATAACCATGTTCAAGGTATACCACGGTTTTAAAAGTTAAGGTTTTAAAACCATGCAATTTTTTGCTATACCGTTCCTAAGGTATGAGTAAAATTAAAAAAAAAAATTATTTACATTTTATTTATTTATTTATTTTTTTTCTTTTTTAGGACAACAGTACCTCCAGCAGAAAAAAAATTAAAAGATGTTGTTTTAAATTGTAATGAAATCTGTGTTTGAAACAAATGAAGATAGCAGAAGTCAATAATTCACTTGAATTATTTAGCCTGACATGTTTACTGCTCCAGAATATTTCAAGTGTTTTCCAAATTAAAAAATATTGTGTACAAAGGGGAAAAATGTTTTGTTAAATTGTGTAAATTTTGAGCATGCAGTAATCACAATACTGTGAAACCGTTATATCTATACCCACGGTTATCATACCGTCAGAATCTAATATCAGCCCATGCCTAATCCCAATCAATGTAAATCTTACCTAGTAGAGTTACTTGAGTCATCTTGTACAATTATATTCGTATTGCAGAAAAACAAAATGTCGCAATGTCAGCTTTTTTCCAATATTGTTCAGCCCTAGTGTACAATTACATTAGGGGTGCTATTAACATTTTGATTTTTTGGGGGGTAATTTGGTGCCGATATTTGTGAAATACACCCTATATTTGTTACTTATAATCTGTAATATCTCTAAATCCTTTTTTGTTTTCATCTTTGACCTTTACATCAACCCATTGATCATCTCCTGTTTGAGGCAGATTGCTTTCTAATAATTGGAAAAGGTGACGTGATCCTAACAGGCCTAAATAGTCTTTGCTGCCCTCTTGAATCATTCACAGATGATGGCCCATGTGTATCACTACGTTTAATACTTTACTCTTTAAATTAGCTTGCATGTACTTTAAAGCATGCTTATCTGTCCAACTTTTTCTCTTTCTGTTGATTTTTCAATAAAATACTGTTAACGGTTGAGGTCACTTCTTGAAATAGCGGTAATCATCTTAGAAGGCATTAGTGTGAATGTAATCTGGACGGTGTGCCATCATGCCAGAGAAGTGCAACCTGTTAACCGCTTAACCTACTCATCCATTCACCAGGAAAGCCACACACGGGACACACATACCCTTCTGTCTGTGTTTTACACGTATATTGTTTTGGGTAAAAACTGATTTCTCAGTACTTTTTTTTTTTTTTTTTTTTGATATTGGTAATTGTTTGTGCTGGTATTTTGTGGTAATCAGGGCTTGTTGTAAATGAATAAATATGATAATAAAACTATAACATTAGAATAAACAATAGGTGTTATAACAGGTTCATGTCATTATGAGAGATTTGTTGAAATATTTCAATGATTTGTTAAAAATGGCTGATTTAGAAACGGAGAAGTGACTGTTTTTATAAATGGATTATTCAATGGTTGACATGATTAGTTTGAAAAGGAGATTTATTCAGGTATAAAGCACCAAAGGGATATTTGTTTTCTACCATAACTTGATGGATAGGGCCATTCAGCTGCATTTTAAATATTCCTCATCACAAAATAATTGCTTCTGACTGTCAAGACATGCTGTTTGTTATTTTCACATTATTGCTAAAACAACAAGTTGGGGTATTTAGTTATATACATATAATTTCCGCACACCCATCTCATTGCAGAAGACATTGTGAATATACAATATTAGAAACCCACTAAAAGAACATTGGGTCCCTCTTTAAATTAGGTGGCCTAACCATGTACTTGCTTCAAAAAATATATATTTATAATATACTTATTGTGTTTTTAATGAACACTTCTGGTGCTCTTAAGGTGGAATACGGGTATGGGATACGGGTATGACGTTTGGTGGTATGGGAAGATTGAAATTAACTTCATGTAATTACATACAAGTATTTAAGCAACTATAGGTAAGTACAATGAAAAAACACATTTGCACAGTAAGTGCATTGTAACAGATTAATTTTAGTGAAAGTACTAGGCATGGGACGA